TATTGATTAAATCTATTAGATTCAAAACATTTGCTGTTAAACTGAATGAAATTATGAGAAATTTAATATAATTTTTTTTTTTTTTTTTGCTCATTAAATCATTAAATGATCAATGCCGCATTCTTTAAAAGCATTAATTGATTCAACTGATTTAATCAATATTATCAAATCAGTGTAAATAATTTACCAATATTATCATATCACAATATCAATGTAATTTAAGTAGATTAAGGATATTAAATGTTAAATTATTTTTATAATATCAATATTCTATCAGTTATAATCAGTGTGACATTTTTGTGACAATTTCTCCTTTCCTAAATTCATTTGCATTCAAATGAAAGCACTTTTAATGATTTGTTAATTTATCAATTTTTTTTTCTTAAACGCTCTTACGCTGATCACACAGCTAATTGATAAATAACACATTTCAATTGTTTAGCTGATAAGATATATCAAAATGAACTTTTATAAGATTGATCTGAACATCTTAGCTAAATCATTCATTTATTTTCAAATTAATTTTTATTATCATAAACAACCAACAATTTAATTCTATTAATTTCATTCTTTGTCTTTCACAGTTTTTTTTTCCTAAAATTTAATCATTTCCCATCCATTAAATCAATTAATCTATTTGATAATAATAAATCAATCTTATGTGCAACAAATAATTCTTTTTTTTTTTTTATCTCATAAATCGATTTGAAAATTGATTTATTATTATCAGTGTGTTTCAATCAGTTACAAAAGTGACAAAAAATATTCACAAACATTTCAAATTTTTCCGACTTAAAATTTTCAAAATAATTTTTTATCACTTGTGCTTAATTTAAAAAAAAAAAAAAAAAAAAAAAAACTTATTTTCTTACATATTTTATCAATTCATAAAATTTCAAATTTTCATAAGAACTTTTTTTTTTTGAAAAAGAAAGAAAAGAAGATGTATAACTGTATTATAATGTAATTTCATATCACAAAAATTATCCTATTATAATGAAAAAATCAAATGAAATAATATATCATTGACATATAAATAGCAAACAAAATTAATTATCATATTAAATTAAAATTTGAAATTAGGAAAAAGAGAACAATTCATTTTATTAGTTATGTCACATTACTTTTATACAATTATTTCAATCAATACAAAAGTTTTTTTTTTTAGTTTGATTCCATTTCAATCAACATATATAATAGTTTGATTCCATTTCAACATATATCATATTCGATACATTTATTTATTTTATAATTATTATACTTCCCAGAACAATTTTCCCAAAAAAACTTCAGCTAGAAAATCAAAATTTATTACTTTTTCTAAAATATTTGAGCTATTATACAAGATAAACAATATTACATTCCAAATATTCTAAATTAAATAATACCAAATAGATATCCTTAAACATGCTAGAATTCCACATGCTAGAATAAATTTAAATAAAGCATAACCATTTAAATATCACCAAAAAAAAAAGTATAGTAATTTAAGTAGACAAATTTTGAAAAAAAAAAAAAAAAAAAGGTATGACATATATTAGTAGTTAAATTTGAAAGGTAGCAATAATAACAATAACAGTAACAATATTTACCAAATTCTTTGAAACTTTAAAAGAAAATTAGTTTTTCTTAAAAAGAAAAATATTTTTTCAATTTCATTAATTTTATTACTTTTTCTAAAATATTTGAGCTATTATACAAGATAAACAATATTACATTCCAAATATTCTAAATTAAATAATACCAAATAAATATCCTTAAACATGCTAGAATTCCACATGCTAGAATAAATTTAAATAAAGCATAACCATTTAAATATCACCAAAAAAAAAAGTATAGTAATTTAAGTAGACAAATTTTGAAAAAAAAAAGAAAAAAAAAGGTATGACATATATTAGTAGTTAAATTTGAAAGGTAGCAATAATAACAATAACAGTAACAATATTTACCAAATTCTTTGAAACTTTAAAAGAAAATTAGTTTTTCTTAAAAAAGAAAAAATATTTTTTCAATTTCATTAATTTCATCATTTTTAAATGAATATTTTTTGTTTCGCTGATTTTTTTAACTAATCTAATTTAGGTACTAAATAGTTTAATTGATTCTTTTATTCTATATTATATTGCAACTAAAAATAAAAAATTATTTCATAATTTAATTTAATCACTGAGTTATTCAATTTATTATCATCAAAACAGATAGCAAACATGATTTTTTTTTTTGTAATTTTAGGTTTTTTTTCTTTTTCTTTCCTATCATATTTTTTGTTCTCATTTTTTTTTTTTTTTTTTTGTTAAGCAAGAAAAAAGACATAAAAATTCAATGAAATACCATACGGAAATTACATTTAAAAAAAAATTATTGATCATAAAACTTTCAATAGCCTTTGCAATTTTAACTTTTTATTTTGTTTTTGTCCTTTTATCTCTTTCTTTTCTGGTCGTTTTAATTCTAGAAAAATTCATTCAGAAATTTATTCAGCCCTCATCGCTCCGCTACCACCCCCGCGCCTACAGGCCACGCCTTCGTCGCCCCGCCCCTAATACGCTTGCTTGACCACGCCCTTTTCGCCCCGCCTCCGCCACGCCCGCATGGCCACGCCCCTTTTCGTCCCGCCCCCGCCATTACTGCACCTCTTATCACTGTACCTCTTATCACTGTACCTCTTATCACTGTACCTCTTATCACTGTACCTCTTATCACTGTACCTCTTATCACTGTACCTCTTATCACTGCACCTCTTATCACTGCACCTCTTATCACTGTACCTCTTATCACTGCACCTCTTATCACTGTACCTCTTATCACTGTACCTCTTATCACTGTACCTCTTATCACTGTACCTCTTATCACTGTACCTCTTATCACTGTACCTCTTATCACTGTACCTCTTATCACTGTACCTCTTATCACTGCACCTCTTATCACTGTACCTCTTATCACTGTACCTCTTATCACTGTACCTCTTATCACTGTACCTCTTATCACTGTACCTCTTATCACTGTACCTCTTATCACTGTACCTCTTATCGTACCTTTATACCTCTTTTACTGTACCTCTTATCACTGTACCTCTTATCACCGTACCTCTTATCACTGTACCTCTTATTACCTCTTATCACCGTACCTCTTATCACCGTACCTCTTATCACCGTACCTCTTATCACTGTACCTCTTGTACTGTACCTCTTATACCGTACCTCTTATTGTACCTCTTGTACCGTACCTTTTATCTTACCGTACCTCTTATACCGTACCTCTTATCACCGTACCTCTTGGTACCGTACCTCTTATCACTGTACCTCTTGGTACCGTACCTTGGTACCGTACCTCTTGGTACCGTACCTTTTGGTACCGTACCTCTTGGTACCGTACCTTTGGTACCGTACTTTTGTTATTGTACCTCTTGGTACCGTACCTTTTATCACCGTACCTCTTGGTACCGTACCTCTTGGTACCGTACCTTTTGGTACCGTACCTCTTGTTACCGTACCTTTTGGTACCGTACCTCTTGTTACCGTACCTTTTGGTACCGTACCTCTTGGTACCGTACCTTTTATCACCGTACCTCTTGGTACCGTACCTCTTATCACTGTACCTCTTGGTACCGTACTTTTGTTATTGTACCTCTTGTTACCGTACCTTTTGGTACCGTACCTCTTGGTACCGTACCTTTTATCACCGTACCTCTTGGTACCGTATTTGTTATTGTATCTTTTGGTACCGTATCTTTTGTTGATGTACCTCTTGTTACCGTACTTTTTATCACTGTATCTCTTGGTACCGTACCTCTTATCACTGTACCTCTTGGTACCGTACTTTTGTTATTGTACCTCTTGTTACCGTACCTCTTGGTACCGAACCTCTTGTTACCGCACCTTTTGGTACCGTACCTCTTGGTACCGTACCTTTTATCACCGTACCTCTTGTAACCGTACTTTTTATCACTGTACCTCTTGGTACCGTACTTTTTGTTATTGTACCTCGTGGTACCGTATCTTTTATTACTGTACCTCTTATCACTGTACCTCTTGGTACCGTACTTTTGTTATTGTACCTCTTGTTACCGTACCTTTTAGTACCGTACCTCTTGGTACCGTACCTTTTCACCGTACCTCTTGGTACCGTACTTTTGTTATTGTACCTCTTGTTACCGTACCTTTTGGTACCGTACCTCTTGGTACCGTACTTTTATCACCGTACCTCTTGGTACCGTATTTTTTATCACCGTACCTCTTGGTACCGTAATTTTTGTTATTGTATCTTTTAGTACCGTATCTTTTGTTAATGTACCTCTTGTTACCGCACCTTTTATTATTCTACTTCTTGGTACCGTACTTTTGTTATTGTACCTCGTGGTACCGTATCTTTTATTACTGTACCTCTTGGTACCGTACCTCTTGTTACCGTACTTTTTATCACTGTATCTCTTGGTACCGTACCTCTTATCACTGTACCTCTTCGTACCGTACTTTTCTTATTGTACCTCTTGTTACCGTACCTCTTGGTACCGTACTTTTGTTATTGTACCTTGTGGTACCGTATCTTTTATTACTGTACCTCTTGGTACCGTACCTTTTATCACCGTACCTCTTGGTACCGTAATTTTGTTATTGTATCTTTTGGTACCGTATCTTTTGTTAATGTACCTCTTGCTACCGTACTTTTGTTACCGTACTTTTATCACTGTATCTCTTGGTACCGTACCTCTTATCACTGTACCTCTTGGTACCGTACTTTTGTTATTGTACCTCTTGTTACCGTACCTCTTAGTACCGAACCTCTTGTTACCGCGCCTTTTGGTACCATATCTTTTGTTAAAACGGTGATAGGAAGTACGGTACCAAGAGATACGATAAAAAGTACGGTAACAAGAGGTACGGTACCAAGAGGTACAGTAATAAGATACGGTACCACGAGGTACGGTGATAAAAGGTACGGTACCAAGAGGTACGGTACCAAAAGGTACGGTAACAAGAGGTACAAGTACAAAGGTACGGTTAGGTACCAAAGGTACGGTACCAAGAGGTACGGAGGTACGGTAACAAGAGGTACAATAACAAAGTACGGTACCAAGAGGTACAGTGATAAGAGGTACGGTACCAAGAGGTACGGTGATAAAAGGTACGGTATAAGGTACAGGAGGTGCGATAACAAAGGTACGGTACCAAGAGGTGCAGTAACAAGAGGTACGGTACCAAAGGTAGTATAAGAGGTACAGTGATAAGAGGTACAAGAGGTACAATAACAAAAGGTACGGTGATAAGAGGTACGGTATAAGAGGTGCAGTGATAAGAGGTACAGTGATAAGAGGTGTGTATAAGAGGTACAGTGATAAGAGGTACAGTGATAAGAGGTACAGTGATAAGAGGTGCAGTGATAAGAGGTACAGTGATAAGAGGTGCAGTGATAAGAGGTACAGTGATAAGAGGTGCAGTGATGGCGGGGGCGGGACGAAGAAGGGGCGTGGCCATGCGGGCGTGGCGGAGGCGGGGCGAAAAGGGCGTGGTCAAGCAAGCGTATTAGGGGCGGGGCGACGAAGGCGTGGCCTGTAGGCGCGGGGGTGGTAGCGGAGCGATGAGGGCTGAATAAATTTCTGAATGAATTTTTCTAGAATTAAAACGACCAGAAAAGAAAGAGATAAAAGGACAAAAACAAAATAAAAAGTTAAAATTGCAAAGGCTATTGAAAGTTTTATGATCAATAATTTTTTTTTAAATGAATTTCCGTATGGTATTTCATTGAATTTTTATCTTTTTTTCTTGCTTAACAAAAAAAAAAAAAAAAAAAATGAGAACAAAAAATATGATAGGAAAGAAAAAAGAAAAAAAACCTAAAATTACAAAAAAAAAAAATCATGTTTGCTATCTGTTTTGATGATAATAAATTGAATAACTCAGTGATTAAATTAAATTATGAAATAATTTTTTATTTTTTAGTTGCAATATAATATAGAATAAAAGAATCAATTAAACTATTTAGTACCTAAATTAGATTAGTTAAAAAAATCAGCGAAACAAAAAATATTCATTTAAAAATGATGAAATTAATGAAATTGAAAAATATTTTTCTTTTTAAGAAAAACTAATTTTCTTTTAAAGTTTCAAAGAATTTGGTAAATATTGTTACTGTTATTGTTATTATTGCTACCTTTCAAATTTAACTACTAATATATGTCATACCTTTTTTTTTTTTTTTTTCAAAATTTGTCTACTTAAATTACTATACTTTTTTTTTTTGGTGATATTTAAATGGTTATGCTTTATTTAAATTTATTCTAGCATGTGGAATTCTAGCATGTTTAAGGACATCTATTTGCTAATATTTAATTTAGAATATTTGGAATGTAATATTGTTTATCTTGCATTGTATAATAGCTCAAATATTTTAGAAAAAGTAATAAAGTAAAAAAAAAAAAAAAAAAAAAAATTATGTTACTTATAAATTTAGTCATTGCTATTTTCAATTATTAGCAATATTTGATTCTTGAATTTGCAATTCAATTTTAAGTAATCGAATATTAGCTCATATTTCAGATAATATATGCTAATCAATGGCAATCAATGCAACTAATAAATGATCAAAAAGCAATTCATTTTCGTCCTTTTTTTTTCTTTACATTTAGGAAAATTATCATTGAATAATAATCAGTTCAAAAAAAAAAAGCATTGATCATAGCTAATTGATCAAAATAACTGCAATCATTTAGAATCAAATCACGATCATTTTAGACAAATCAAAAAATGATTGTTTTAACTATCCAATAAAGCTAATAACAATTTTGTGGACAAATGTTCAATTATTTGACAAAATTTTCTTTGTCGCAAAAAAAAAAAAAAAAAAAAAACTAATCATAAAATAACAATTGAACACTGAAAATAAATTGATAATTAATAATAATAATTAAATTTTTCTTATAAAATTCCTCGAGTATGAAATAACAAATTTTGTCACTTATTTTTTTTTTTAAATCCTGAAATTGGTAATAGTTGTAGTTCCTTCAAAATTTGAGAAATTTTGAAAAAGCAAAGATTATTTGTTATAAAAATGAGCAAATTTCAAAACATATTTATAATTAATTTCAGGATAAAAAATCCTATCAAGAATTTACATGTGGTTTGAATTTATAATCTTTTCAATTTTAATACCAATAATTTTTGAAATAGTTTTTAATATTACTTTAATTAAAAAAAAAATTTATTAAGTATTACTTTAATCAAAATCAAAAAATTGATTATATATTACTTTAATTTATTATATATTACTTTAATCAAAATCAAAAAGTTTAGCAATTAAGCTTACATATTACCTTCATGCTGAAAGCTAAATGATTGCAAAATTTCAAATTTAACATTTTCTTACACCTATTTTTATTTTAAAATAACTTAAAATTTTTGTTTTGCTAGATTTTTGTAGCTTAATTTAATTAAATAAGCTTTACCGATTGATATATTTCTCGAGAAAAATTTTTATAATTTTTGCAATCTGATATAAAAATTTGACTTTAGTGATAAATTTATAATTGATATAAACTGTTATCATATCTCTACTAGCCAAGCCAATAAGTGTTAAATTTTTCATCTAATGTTACCTAAGTTTCAAAAGCAGAATTTTATATTTATATTTTTAGCTTAAATTATATTTTTGTCAAATTAATTTTTTCATTTAATTAAGAAAAGTTTATTATTTAAAAAAATTCCATTCAGTTTTAATAGTTTCAAATAATTACAGCTATCAGTTTTACGTAATTTATGCATATTTTAACAATTTCAGCAGTTTTATGCTTATATTTGAATTTATAATTTTAATTTTGCGCTCAAATCTTTTTTAGAATAATTGATTCGTGATAATATGAAGTTATTATCAGAACTATATTTGATAACTTTTAAAAATAACTAATTAATTGATAATTAGTAAAACTGCTATAGAATCCTAATTATTATTGATTAAATCTATTAGATTCAAAACATTTGCTGTTAAACTGAATGAAATTATGAGAAATTTAATATAATTTTTTTTTTTTTTTTTTGCTCATTAAATCATTAAATGATCAATGCCGCATTCTTTAAAAGCATTAATTGATTCAACTGATTTAATCAATATTATCAAATCAGTGTAAATAATTTACCAATATTATCATATCACAATATCAATGTAATTTAAGTAGATTAAGGATATTAAATGTTAAATTATTTTTATAATATCAATATTCTATCAGTTATAATCAGTGTGACATTTTTGTGACAATTTCTCCTTTCCTAAATTCATTTGCATTCAAATGAAAGCACTTTTAATGATTTGTTAATTTATCAATTTTTTTTTCTTAAACGCTCTTACGCTGATCACACAGCTAATTGATAAATAACACATTTCAATTGTTTAGCTGATAAGATATATCAAAATGAACTTTTATAAGATTGATCTGAACATCTTAGCTAAATCATTCATTTATTTTCAAATTAATTTTTATTATCATAAACAACCAACAATTTAATTCTATTAATTTCATTCTTTGTCTTTCACAGTTTTTTTCCTAAAATTTAATCATTTCCCATCCATTAAATCAATTAATCTATTTGATAATAATAAATCAATCTTATGTGCAACAAATAATTCTTTTTTTTTTTTATCTCATAAATCGATTTGAAAATTGATTTATTATTATCAGTGTGTTTCAATCAGTTACAAAAGTGACAAAAATATTCACAAACATTTCAAATTTTTCCGACTTAAAATTTTCAAAATAATTTTTATCACTTGTGCTTAATTTAAAAAAAAAAAAAAAAAAAAAAAAACTTATTTTCTTACATATTTTATCAATTCATAAAATTTCAAATTTTCATAAGAACTTTTTTTTTTGAAAAAGAAAGAAAAGAAGATGTATAACTGTATTATAATGTAATTTCATATCACAAAAATTATCCTATTATAATGAAAAAATCAAATGAAATAATATATCATTGACATATAAATAGCAAACAAAATTAATTATCATATTAAATTAAAATTTGAAATTAGGAAAAAGAGAACAATTCATTTTATTAGTTATGTCACATTACTTTTATACAATTATTTCAATCAATACAAAAGTTTTTTTTTTTAGTTTGATTCCATTTCAATCAACATATATAATAGTTTGATTCCATTTCAACATATATCATATTCGATACATTTATTTATTTTATAATTATTATACTTCCCAGAACAATTTTCCCAAAAAAACTTCAGCTAGAAAATCAAAATTTATTACTTTTTCTAAAATATTTGAGCTATTATACAAGATAAACAATATTACATTCCAAATATTCTAAATTAAATAATACCAAATAGATATCCTTAAACATGCTAGAATTCCACATGCTAGAATAAATTTAAATAAAGCATAACCATTTAAATATCACCAAAAAAAAAAGTATAGTAATTTAAGTAGACAAATTTTGAAAAAAAAAAAAAAAAAAGGTATGACATATATTAGTAGTTAAATTTGAAAGGTAGCAATAATAACAATAACAGTAACAATATTTACCAAATTCTTTGAAACTTTAAAAGAAAATTAGTTTTTCTTAAAAAGAAAAAATATTTTTCAATTTCATTAATTTTATTACTTTTTCTAAAATATTTGAGCTATTATACAAGATAAACAATATTACATTCCAAATATTCTAAATTAAATAATACCAAATAAATATCCTTAAACATGCTAGAATTCCACATGCTAGAATAAATTTAAATAAAGCATAACCATTTAAATATCACCAAAAAAAAAAGTATAGTAATTTAAGTAGACAAATTTTGAAAAAAAAAAGAAAAAAAAGGTATGACATATATTAGTAGTTAAATTTGAAAGGTAGCAATAATAACAATAACAGTAACAATATTTACCAAATTCTTTGAAACTTTAAAAGAAAATTAGTTTTTCTTAAAAAGAAAAATATTTTTCAATTTCATTAATTTCATCATTTTTAAATGAATATTTTTTGTTTCGCTGATTTTTTTTAACTAATCTAATTTAGGTACTAAATAGTTTAATTGATTCTTTTATTCTATATTATATTGCAACTAAAAAATAAAAAATTATTTCATAATTTAATTTAATCACTGAGTTATTCAATTTATTATCATCAAAACAGATAGCAAACATGATTTTTTTTTTTGTAATTTTAGGTTTTTTTTCTTTTTCTTTCCTATCATATTTTTGTTCTCATTTTTTTTTTTTTTTTTTGTTAAGCAAGAAAAAAAGACATAAAAATTCAATGAAATACCATACGGAAATTACATTTAAAAAAAAAATTATTGATCATAAAACTTTCAATAGCCTTTGCAATTTTAACTTTTTATTTTGTTTTTGTCCTTTTATCTCTTTCTTTTCTGGTCGTTTTAATTCTAGAAAAATTCATTCAGAAATTTATTCAGCCCTCATCGCTCCGCTACCACCCCCGCGCCTACAGGCCACGCCTTCGTCGCCCCGCCCCTAATACGCTTGCTTGACCACGCCCTTTTCGCCCCGCCTCCGCCACGCCCCTTTTCGTCCCGCCCCCGCCATTACTGCACCTCTTATCACTGTACCTCTTATCACTGTACCTCTTATCACTGTACCTCTTATCACTGCACCTCTTATCACTGTACCTCTTATCACTGTACCTCTTATCACTGTACCTCTTATCACTGCACCTCTTATCACTGCACCTCTTATCACTGTACCTCTTATCACTGTACCTCTTATCACTGCACCTCTTATCACTGTACCTCTTATCACTGTACCTCTTATCACTGCACCTCTTATCACTGCACCTCTTATCACTGCACCTCTTATCACTGTACCTCTTATCACTGCACCTCTTATCACTGCACCTCTTATCACTGTACCTCTTATCACTGTACCTCTTATCACTGTACCTCTTGGTACCGCACCTTTTGGTACCGTACCTCTTGTTACCGCACCTTTTGGTACCGTACCTCTTGGTACCGTACCTTATGGTACCGTACTTTTTGTTATTGTACCTCTTGTTACCGTACCTTTTATCACCGTACCTCTTGGTACCGTACCTCTTGGTACCGTACCTCTTGGTACCGTACCTTTTATCACCGTACCTCTTGGTACCGTACCTCTTATCACTGTACCTCTTGGTACCGTACTTTTTGTTATTGTACCTCTTGTTACCGTACCTTTTGGTACCGTACCTCTTGGTACCGTACCTTTTATCACCGTACCTCTTGGTACCGTATTTTTGTTATTGTATCTTTTGGTACCGTATCTTTTGTTGATGTACCTCTTGTTACCGTACTTTTTATCACTGTACCTCTTGGTACCGTACCTCTTATCACTGTACCTCTTATTACTGTACCTCTTGGTACCGTACTTTTTGTTATTGTACCTCTTGTTACCGTACCTCTTGGTACCGAACCTCTTGTTACCGCACCTTTTGGTACCGTACCTCTTGGTACCGTACTTTTATCACCGTACCTCTTGGTACCGTACCTTTTATCACCGTACCTCTTGGTACCGTACCTTTTGGTACCGTACCTCTTGTTACCGTACCTTTTGGTACCGTACCTCTTGGTACCGTACCTTTTGGTACCGTACTTTTTGTTATTGTACCTCTTGTTACCGTACCTTTTATCACCGTACCTCTTGGTACCGTACCTTTGGTACCGTACCTCTTGGTACCGTACCTTTGGTACCGTACCTCTTGTTACCGTACCTTTTGGTACCGTACCTCTTGGTACCGTACCTTTTATCACCGTACCTCTTGGTACCGTACCTCTTATCACTGTACCTCTTGGTACCGTACTTTTTGTTATTGTACCTCTTGTTACCGTACCTTTTGGTACCGTACCTTTTATCACCGTACCTCTTGGTACCGTATTTTTGTTATTGTATCTTTTGGTACCGTATCTTTTGTTATGTACCTCTTGTTACCGTACTTTTTATCACTGTATCTCTTGGTACCGTACCTCTTATCACTGTACCTCTTGGTACCGTACTTTTGTTATTGTACCTCTTGTTACCGTACCTCTTGGTACCGAACCTCTTGTTACCGCACCTTTTGGTACCGTACCTCTTGGTACCGTACCTTTTATCACCGTACCTCTTGTAACCGTACTTTTTATCACTGTACCTCTTGGTACCGTACTTTTTGTTATTGTACCTCGTGGTACCGTATCTTTTATTACTGTACCTCTTATCACTGTACCTCTTGGTACCGTACTTTTGTTATTGTACCTCTTGTTACCGTACCTTTTAGTACCGTACCTCTTGGTACCGTACCTTTTATCACCGTACCTCTTGGTACCGTACTTTTTGTTAATGTACCTCTTGTTACCGTACCTTTTATTATTCTACTTCTTGGTACCGTACTTTTTGTTATTGTACCTCTTGGTACCGTATCTTTTATTACTGTACCTCTTGGTACCGTACCTCTTGTTACCGTACTTTTTATCACTGTATCTCTTGGTACCGTACCTCTTATCACTGTACCTCTTGGTACCGTACTTTTTCTTATTGTACCTCTTGTTACCGTACCTCTTGGTACCGTACTTGTTATTACCTTGTGGTACCGTATCTTTTATTACTGTACCTCTTGGTACCGTACCTCTTATCACTGTACCTCTTGGTACCGTACTTTTTGTTATTGTACCTCTTGTTACCGTACCTTTTAGTACCAAACCTCTTGTTACCGCGCCTTTTGGTACCATATCTTTTGTTAAAACGGTGATAGGAAGTACGGTACCAAGGATACAGTGATAAAAAGTACGGTAACAAGAGGTACTAGAGGTACAGTAATAAAAGGTACGGTACCAACGAGTACGGTGATAAAGGTACGGTACCAAAGGTGTACCAAAGGTACGGTAACAAGGTACAATAACAAAAGTACGGTACCAAGAGGTACGGTGATAAAGGTACGGTACCAAAGGTACGGTACCAGAGGTACGGTACAAAGGTACGGTAACAAGAGGTACAATAAAAAGTACGGTACCAAAGTAGTGATAAGAGGTACGGTACCAAATGTACAGTGATAAGAGTACGGTACCAGATTAATAAAGGTGCGGTAACAAGAGGTGACAAAGGTGCAGGTAACAGGTACAGTTAAAGGTACGGTACAGAAGTGCAGTGATAAAACAGGTAAGAGGTACAATAAAAAGTAGGTACCATAAGGTGCAGTGATAAGAGGTACAGTGATAAGAGGTACAGATAAGAGGTACAGTGATAAGAGGTACAGTGATAAGAGGTACAGTGATAAGAGGTGCAGTGATAAGAGGTACAGTGATAAGAGGTGCAGTGATAAGAGGTACAGTGATAAGAGGTACAGTGATAAGAGGTGCAGTAATGGCGGGGGCGGGACGAAAAGGGGCGTGGCCATGCGGGCGTGGCGGAGGCGGGGCGAAAAGGGCGTGGTCAAGCAAGCGTATTAGGGGCGGGGCGACGAAGGCGTGGCCTGTAGGCGCGGGGGTGGTAGCGGAGCGATGAGGGCTGAATAAATTTCTGAATGAATTTTTCTAGAATTAAAACGACCAGAAAAGAAAGAGATAAAAGGACAAAAACAAAATAAAAAGTTAAAATTGCAAAGGCTATTGAAAGTTTTATGATCAATAATTTTTTTTTTTAAATAGAATTTCCGTATGGTATTTCATTGAATTTTTATGTCTTTTTTCTTGCTTAACAAAAAAAAAAAAAAAATGAGAACAAAAAATATGATAGGAAAGAAAAAAGAAAAAAAACCTAAAATTACAAAAAAAAAAATCATGTTTGCTATCTGTTTTGATGATAATAAATTGAATAACTCAGTGATTAAATTAAATTATGAAATAATTTTTTATTTTTTAGTTGCAATATAATATAGAATAAAAGAATCAATTAAACTATTTAGTACCTAAATTAGATTAGTTAAAAAAAATCAGCGAAACAAAAAATATTCATTTAAAAATGATGAAATTAATGAAATTGAAAAAATATTTTTTCTTTTTTAAGAAAAACTAATTTTCTTTTAAAGTTTCAAAGAATTTGGTAAATATTGTTACTGTTATTGTTATTATTGCTACCTTTCAAATTTAACTACTAATATATGTCATACCTTTTTTTTCTTTTTTTTTCAAAATTTGTCTACTTAAATTACTATACTTTTTTTTTTGGTGATATTTAAATGGTTATGCTTTATTTAAATTTATTCTAGCATGTGGAATTCTAGCATGTTTAAGGACATCTATTTGCTAATATTTAATTTAGAATATTTGGAATGTAATATTGTTTATCTTGCATTGTATAATAGCTCAAATATTTTAGAAAAAGTAATAAAGTAAAAAATTAGTAAAAAAAAAAGTAAAAAATTATGTTACTTATAAATTTAGTCATTGCTATTTTCAATTATTAGCAATATTTGATTCTTGAATTTGCAATTCAATTTTAAGTAATCGAATATTAGCTCATATTTCAGATAATATATGCTAATCAATGGCAATCAATGCAACTAATAAATGATCAAAAAGCAATTCATTTTCGTCCTTTTTTTCTTTACATTTAGGAAAATTATCATTGAATAATAATCAGTTCAAAAAAAAAAAAAGCATTGATCATAGCTAATTGATCAAAATAACTGCAATCATTTAGAATCAAATCACGATCATTTTAGACAAATCAAAAAATGATTGTTTTAACTATCCAATAAAGCTAATAACAATTTTGTGGACAAATGTTCAATTATTTGACAAAATTTTCTTTGTCGCAAAAAAAAAAAAAAAAAAAAAAAACTAATCATAAAATAACAATTGAACACTGAAAATAAATTGATAATTAATAATAATAATTAAATTTTTCTTATAAAATTCCTCGAGTATGAAATAACAAATTTTGTCACTTATTTTTTTTTTAAATCCTGAAATTGGTAATAGTTGTAGTTCCTTCAAAATTTGAGAAATTTTGAAAAAGCAAAGATTATTTGTTATAAAAATGAGCAAATTTCAAAACATATTTATAATTAATTTCAGGATAAAAAATCCTATCAAGAATTTACATGTGGTTTGAATTTATAATCTTTTCAATTTTAATACCAATAATTTTTGAAATAGTTTTTAATATTACTTTAATTAAAAAAATTTATTAAGTATTACTTTAATCAAAATCAAAAAATTGATTATATATTACTTTAATTTATTATATATTACTTTAATCAAAATCAAAAAGTTTAGCAATTAAGCTTACATATTACCTTCATGCTGAAAGCTAAATGATTGCAAAATTTCAAATTTAACATTTTCTTGCACCTATTTTTATTTTAAAATAACTTAAAATTTTTGTTTTGCTAGATTTTTGTAGCTTAATTTAATTAAATAAGCTTTACCGATTGATATATTTCTCGAGAAAAATTTTTATAATTTTTGCAATCTGATATAAAAAATTTGACTTTAGTGATAAATTTATAATTGATATAAACTGTTATCATATCTCTACTAGCCAAGCCAATAAGTGTTAAATTTTTCATCTAATGTTACCTAAGTTTCAAAAGCAGAATTTTATATTTATATTTTTAGCTTAAATTATATTTTTGTCAAATTAATTTTTTCATTTAATTAAGAAAAGTTTATTATTTAAAAAATTCCATTCAGTTTTAATAGTTTCAAATAATTACAGCTATCAGTTTTACGTAATTTATGCATATTTTAACAATTTCAGCAGTTTTATGCTTATATTTGAATTTATAATTTTAATTTTGCGCTCAAATCTTTTTTTAGAATAATTGATTCGTGATAATATGAAGTTATTATCAGAACTATATTTGATAACTTTTAAAAATAACTAATTAATTGATAATTAGTAAAACTGCTATAGAATCCTAATTATTATTGATTAAATCTATTAGATTCAAAACATTTGCTGTTAAACTGAATGAAATTATGAGAAATTTAATATAATTTTTTTTTTTTTTTGCTCATTAAATCATTAAATGATCAATGCCGCATTCTTTAAAAGCATTAATTGATTCAACTGATTTAATCAATATTATCAAATCAGTGTAAATAATTTACCAATATTATCATATCACAATATCAATGTAATTTAAGTAGATTAAGGATATTAAATGTTAAATTATTTTTATAATATCAATATTCTATCAGTTATAATCAGTGTGACATTTTTGTGACAATTTCTCCTTTCCTAAATTCATTTGCATTCAAATGAAAGCACTTTTAATGATTTGTTAATTTATCAATTTTTTTTCTTAAACGCTCTTACGCTGATCACACAGCTAATTGATAAATAACACATTTCAATTGTTTAGCTGATAAGATATATCAAAATGAACTTTTATAAGATTGATCTGAACATCTTAGCTAAATCATTCATTTATTTTCAAATTAATTTTTATTATCATAAACAACCAACAATTTAATTCTATTAATTTCATTCTTTGTCTTTCACAGTTTTTTTCCTAAAATTTAATCATTTCCCATCCATTAAATCAATTAATCTATTTGATAATAATAAATCAATCTTATGTGCAACAAATAATTCTTTTTTTTTTTTATCTCATAAATCGATTTGAAAATTGATTTATTATTATCAGTGTGTTTCAATCAGTTACAAAAGTGACAAAAAATATTCACAAACATTTCAAATTTTTCCGACTTAAAATTTTCAAAATAATTTTTATCACTTGTGCTTAATTTAAAAAAAAAAAAAAAAAAAAACTTATTTTCTTACATATTTTATCAATTCATAAAATTTCAAATTTTCATAAGAACTTTTTTTTTGAAAAAAGAAAGAAAAGAAGATGTATAACTGTATTATAATGTAATTTCATATCACAAAAATTATCCTATTATAATGAAAAAATCAAATGAAATAATATATCATTGACATATAAATAGCAAACAAAATTAATTATCATATTAAATTAAAATTTGAAATTAGGAAAAAGAGAACAATTCATTTTATTAGTTATGTCACATTACTTTTATACAATTATTTCAATCAATACAAAAGTTTTTTTTTTTAGTTTGATTCCATTTCAATCAACATATATAATAGTTTGATTCCATTTCAACATATATCATATTCGATACATTTATTTATTTTATAATTATTATACTTCCCAGAACAATTTTCCCAAAAAAACTTCAGCTAGAAAATCAAAATTTATTACTTTTTCTAAAATATTTGAGCTATTATACAAGATAAACAATATTACATTCCAAATATTCTAAATTAAATAATACCAAATAGATATCCTTAAACATGCTAGAATTCCACATGCTAGAATAAATTTAAATAAAGCATAACCATTTAAATATCACCAAAAAAAAAAAGTATAGTAATTTAAGTAGACAAATTTTGAAAAAAAAAAAAGAAAAAAAAAGGTATGACATATATTAGTAGTTAAATTTGAAGGTAGCAATAATAACAATAACAGTAACAATATTTACCAAATTCTTTGAAACTTTAAAGAAAATTAGTTTTTCTTAAAAAGAAAAATATTTTTCAATTTCATTAATTTTATTACTTTTTCTAAAATATTTGAGCTATTATACAAGATAAACAATATTACATTCCAAATATTCTAAATTAAATAATACCAAATAAATATCCTTAAACATGCTAGAATTCCACATGCTAGAATAAATTTAAATAAAGCATAACCATTTAAATATCACCAAAAAAAAAAGTATAGTAATTTAAGTAGACAAATTTTGAAAAAAAAAAGAAAAAAAAGGTATGACATATATTAGTAGTTAAATTTGAAAGGTAGCAATAATAACAATAACAGTAACAATATTTACCAAATTCTTTGAAACTTTAAAGAAAATTAGTTTTTCTTAAAAAGAAAAATATTTTTTCAATTTCATTAATTTCATCATTTTTAAATGAATATTTTTTGTTTCGCTGATTTTTTTAACTAATCTAATTTAGGTACTAAATAGTTTAATTGATTCTTTTATTCTATATTATATTGCAACTAAAAAATAAAAATTATTTCATAATTTAATTTAATCACTGAGTTATTCAATTTATTATCATCAAAACAGATAGCAAACATGATTTTTTTTTTTGTAATTTTAGGTTTTTTTTTCTTTTTTCTTTCCTATCATATTTTTTGTTCTCATTTTTTTTTTTTTTTTTTGTTAAGCAAGAAAAAAGACATAAAAATTCAATGAAATACCATACGGAAATTACATTTAAAAAAAAATTATTGATCATAAAACTTTCAATAGCCTTTGCAATTTTAACTTTTTATTTTGTTTTTGTCCTTTTATCTCTTTCTTTTCTGGTCGTTTTAATTCTAGAAAAATTCATTCAGAAATTTATTCAGCCCTCATCGCTCCGCTACCACCCCCGCGCCTACAGGCCACGCCTTCGTCGCCCCGCCCC